CTTTTAACATTATATGATCATGATCATTCTTGCACATTCTTTAATCACATGATACATGATTTGTGATGCATACTAGATCACATTTGGTACTGTTTTACACTTTCATCCATGTTTACGTTAAGTTTTTTCCTCTTTGGAATGAATTTAATCTTTCATAATCAATAATTCATCCTTTGCTTCAATGAATTTTCATCCCCTTGGAAACTTTTAGCATCATCCCCTTTTGATTGATTAATTGAAACTTCATTTTGATTAGTCGATCCTTTCTTTTTTCTTCTCCTTTGGATTTTCTATAGTTTGGTCCTCTCTTTTCCTCCGTGGAATTGAATATTCGCAATGCATTAGAGCCTTGTATAAATTTTACGTCATTGTGTTGTTCGTTCGCTTCTTGCACCACGCTTTGGTGTTAGAGAAGGAAAGAGAGTGGAGAATTCCTATACTCATTCTGACTATTTTAGGTAGGGGACGAATGGTTTGTGCCTGAAATAGTCGCCTCTATCTCCTTACTGTGGTATCCCTATTTCTCTAGTTGAGTCGATCCTTGATCACTTGCACCCTTATCTCCTCTTTGGAAGTGACTCTCACCTTTCAATTCAACACTCTCTTGAGGCCAATCCATTCTTGGTTCCCCAGAGATTTGTAATCACTTCTTTCCTTAGTTGATCAACCGTTTTTCCGGTTAAAATCAATTCTCTTCTTCCTCAGGGAAATCAATCTTTCTTCTCTGATTTACACAGTCTTCCTGTTAAAACCTAATCCCTATCAGAGTTCGCAAACTTCTCTTGGTTATCTCTCCTTCTTGTTTAGTTAATCACTTTCTGACAGTTAAGCACCAGTTTGTTCTTTTCCTCAGTTAATCACAGTCCGTCTGTTAATACTGAACTTTCTTTGGGTTAATCGACTTCTTCCGGCTAATCAACCGATCTTTGGTTGATCATGGTCTACCCGTTAAAACCAGCTTATTCTTTGGGTTAATCACCCGCCTTTTGGTCAATCACAGTTCGCCTGTTTGAACTAATCACCCTTTTTCTCAGTTAACCACAGTACATCTGTTAAGATACTGAGTTTCTTTTGAGTTAATCACCTTCTATTTGTTAATCACTCATTATTTTCGGTTAATCAAAGGATGTCTGGTAAATATCGAACCCCCTGCAGTTAGCAACCATTCTTTGGTTCAAATATTGTCAGCTTTGGGTTAGTAACCTTTGTTCAGTTCGAATACCCTTTCCTTTGGTCAAGTGTTGTTTGTTCAGTCAATATACCATTTTTTGGGTCACAACCTTCGCTTGGTTCTACACCCGTTATTTGGGTCACAACCTTCACTTGGTTCCACACATGTTTTTTGGGACACAACCTTTGCTTGGTTCCACACCCGTCTATTTGTTGATCACCATTTTTCGATTAAAACCAGTTCCTTTGTCCTTCCGGTTACCCACTGTTTATCAATTAATATACTAATTTCCCCTCAGAGTCAAACACTTCCCTTTGGGTTCAGTACTCTCTTTCTCTTGGTTTTTCGCATTCCGTCTGTTGACACCAACCTTTTTTGCTCTCCCCACAAAGTTTTACTCTTACTTTTCTTCGGTTAATCACTACTTACCAGTTAATGCACCGAATCCCCCATGGATCTTACCTTTATTTTGATTCTTGTCCTTTACTCCTTTATTCTCTTGGCTTCAGCGTCATTCTTTTATTTTCTCTCTAGTGGAGTCATTTCTTTTCTTCTGCATTCCCCGGCAGAGGTCTTGCCTTGCTTTTGCGTTCCTCAGCAGAGTTTCTTTTATCTTCTTTCTTGGTTTTGACATTATTCCTCTTGCATTCTCCAATTGGCTATTGCTTTCTCTTTTCGTTTTTGGCTTCGACGTCGTCTTTGTTTCCTTTCTCAGTGTTAGTTCCCTAAACTACGTAGGCTCTGATTTCCTCATTGCACTATGAGGGTACGTAGGTACAAGATTGCGAAATCTTGGCGAGCCACCTTCCTCCATCTTCTTCCATTCTTCTGTCTCTCTGGTCCATCCAGATCCTTTTCTTCCTTGGTTCCTCGAACTACGTAGGCTCTGATTTCCTCATTGCACTATGAGGGTACGTAAGCACAAGATTGCGAAATTTTGGCGAGCCACCTTCCTCCGTCTTCTTCTATTCTTCTGTCTCTCTGGTCCGTCCAGATCCTCTTCTTTCTTCCTTGGTTCCTTTAACTACGGAGCTCTGACTTCCTCATTTCACTATGAGAGTACGTAGGCACGAGGGCCCCAATCCTCCACCAGCACTTTCTTTCTTTCTCTTTCTTTTTCTCTCTTTTCTTTCCTTTTTAGCTAGAAGCCTTTAGATAGATAATCCATCCAAGCATAGAATCAAGCGAAATGGTTCCCGTCGGGTACGACAGATGCTTAAGGTGCTAGTACCTTCCTTTCGCATAACCAACCCCCTTTCCCATTTATTTTCCCTTGGGTTTTATCAATATTTTCCTTGTCCTTTGGGACTAAATAAAATTCGATGGCGACTCTGTTGTATCTTTGAGTGTGCAATTCACTCAGGTATAATCCCGCTAGCTCCAGCAAGCAACAATGTCGAAGATGTAATAAGGGTGAAGGTTGAACTCAATAAGGAGTTCGACATGAAGGATTTGGGAGCTGCATCCAGGATTCTTGGGATTGACATCCAAAGAGATAGAAAGCATTCGAAATTATGCTTATCTCAAGAGGCATACCTACGGAAGATTCTCGAAAAGTATGGTATGTCGAATTCAAAGCCTGTTGTGACTCCGACAAACCCTTAATTCAAGCTGAGTATAGATCAGTGTCCCAGCACTGATGTCGAAAGAACTTATATAAATAGAATTCCATATGCTAATATAGTGGGTTCTTTGATGTATGTTATGGTTTGTACTAGACACGACATAACATATGCAGTAAGTCTTTTAAGCAGGTATATGGCGAATTCTAGAAAGGCTCACTGGAAAGCATTGAAGTGGATTCTTAGGTACATAAATGAGTCTCTGAATAAAGTCCTAATTTATGGTGGAGCTTTGGGTGAAGATAGTAAAGCAGCAATCGAAGGATATGTCGACTCTGAGTATGCAAGTTGTATGGATTCCAGAAAATCTATTTCTGGATATGTGTTCACTATGTTTAGGACAAGAATCAGTTGGAAAGCAACACTTCAGAAGGTTGTTGCCTTATCTACCACTGAAGCAGAATATATCGCCCTAACTGAAGTTGTAAAGGAAGCATTGTGGCTTGAAGGTTTTGTAAAGGAGTTGAAACTTAAAGGTCGAGTTATCACTTTCAAATGTGATAGTCAAAGTGCAATACACATGTCGAAGAATTCATCCTATCATGAGAAAAAAGCACATTGATATGAGGTTGTATTTCGTCAGAGGGGTAATCGAGCGTGGAGAAGTCCTAGTGCTAAAGTTTTCGACAGATCATAATGTTGTTGATATGATCACCAAGATGTTTCCTAGTTGCAAGTTTTTCCACTGTATGCAATTGATAAAGTTGCACGAAGAAAGCTAGTTTCTTGATATTATAAAGTTAGATCAAAGGTGGAGATTTGTGAGATATTGGATCAAACTCTAGAACGGTCGAAGTCTATTTGCGAGTAATGTGTGTTGTAGTCGAATTTTGTTCTAATATGCATTCAATATTGTTAGGTTTGTTAGCATGTTGAATTGGGTCTTACTTGTAAGTCCAATTGTTTAAGTTAGCTTGTATCCTAAGTTAGCTTGTAATGGATAATTGTTAAAAAGCTCATTATGTTAATGTGTTATTTTTCTTATAAATAACATGCTAGTCTCTCATCTTGCGTAAGGAAACATAGAAAGATAAAATCCTAATTCAAAAGAGAGAGGTTATTTGTTATTTTTGTATACTTGTAATCTTGTTTGATAGATAAAGGAAATAATAGCAGTTTATAACCAATCCTTCTTATTTCTTCTTGTTCTTCTTGCTTGTTTTCTTTGTTAACCTTAACTCTTGTGTGTTTTTTGAATATAAAAAAACTGTTTATATTTTATTTTAAAGTATTCTATGCCCAACAAAGAAAGCGGAATGGAAATAACCAACATTTAAATGAATGAAACATTGTAGTAACATATTCATGATTTTTTAACACAATTTTTTTTATTCATAATAAAAAGATATATTTTTTTATTTTAAATTATAATAATAAATTATAAATGAACCATAAATTTTAGTTTAAATAATAAACCTAAAAAGTGGAGTAAAAATGATGAGGTAAAAGTTAAAACTCAAGTTATTTAAATAGTATTAATAAGCTAAATAGTAATAAAAAGATATTGAAAACTCATGCTAAAACTTAGTCATCTTTATTGATGTAAGTTAAAAAAAAAAAAATCTAAATAAAACCTAATTGATCTTGTCACAAATTATACTACAGACAGAAAGATACCCTGAACACTCGTGTCCCATTTGCAACCAATTAGCGGCCGCCGTTTTGAAGTCAACTACGCTTCAATGCAAATTGCAAAATAAAATAGCATGCCCGACACCAAATCAAACAGCTACTACAACACTTGTTTAATTTTAAATCCGGTCAATACTGTGTTCACGGATTTCACTTCATCCACCCCTTCAAAATCACGGCCACTTGTTTCCCAGCTAGTAATTGGTATTGGACTTGATAATAAAGATTACAATTCAATTTTCTTTAATTGTAATTGAGAAGAAATTAAAATCATTTGATTCCAAAACTGATCACCAAATTGAATTAATCAGTTCGGACATCCAGATATTGGCAGAAAAACTTCACCCAAGGGAATCCATTATAGCCAATAAAGATTCAATTTCCTCAATAGGAAAGGAAACAAGGTCACATCACGTGCTAAAGTGCACCAGCCACTACATCCATATGTGCTGACTCAGTGGAAATATTAGATTACACAGACCCCATCCCACTACACCTAAATGGCCATATTCAATTCAAAACCTCTATGTCAACCTTTCAAATACGTCACCCCTTACGTCACATTCTTATGTTTTTTATTGTGCACTACCCGACATTTCAATCGAACTAAAACTTTCGGATCCCAGATTCTTATATGGGCCCGGCAAAGCCCAATTATCTTCCTCGTTTAGATTAGCTTTTTTCTTTCTCCACCTCACCAAACATATCACACCCCCAACAACAATAATCCCAACTAAAACCGCAACTACAATTCCAAGTATAACCCCAACCCTATTCCTCTTCCGTGCAGCCTTCCTCACCTTAAAATAACCCACTTTTGACTCATCTCCAGTACCCAACATTGTTCCTATTGGATAATCCAAAACGTAACAAAACCCGGTTTGGTTATTATACAACGCTCCCCAACATCTACAGTTTTTCTCACATAACCCTTCACATTCCTCCAAAGATAACGTTGTTACTTCCTCCAACAACTCCTTATGCGGTGGCTCCACGCCGTTCCTTCTCAGAATCATGTAATTTTTTTCTCCGCCAATTCCATCCACACCGCATAATTCACCATCTCCACCACCATCTCCATTGAAACACCCACCCGGTTCGAACCGGGTTTGGTTATCTAAACAAGAACAACTAGACTCACCCGGCGTACACAAACTATACGAACCGCAAGGATTCGGAAGTTCACAGGTTTCTGTTATAGCTTGGTAGTTTAATAGCCAGGTGGACTTTGTTGAATCCCAATAATACCCTTTGAGATTCCCGTCGGATTCTAACCGGACCAAGAGAAACGACGTCGATGATGGTTGTTGGAAGCTGTTGAATTTCTGAACGTCAATGGGTTTAGAACTTGTTTGATACATTCCGATATAACCCTCTGTGCTTACTCTTGCGGAAATGGGTCCCGCACCGGTTACTACTCTAGCTTTTGCTTGTAGTGCAGTGTGTTTCCAGTATAACAGAAATAACCGTTTTGATAACGACCTTCCTTGTTCTTCTTCGGAGTTAATTGTGTATAAGCCCATGAAATTATCGCCTAACCGTAAAGAGTAGAGCCGGTTAGAGGATACTAAAGTCATGTTGGTGGTGAAGTTTTGATCCTGAACGAGGGTGTTTGTGGGAAAGTGGAAACTTTCCCAGAGTGGAGTTTTGGTAGTTGGTTTGTTTTGAATTTGAAGGTTCGAGGTGTTGAGAAGCACCACGCGGTCTCCGTCTGTGTTTGTCGACCACGTGATGCTTCTTTGGGAATCCCATAAAACTAGGCTGCCGTTGAAGAAGAGGCGCGTGGTGTCGGCCCATGATGCGGATTGGGTTGGGTTGGCGATCCATAGTGGTTCGGAGGAAGGTGTGTGAACGACTGCTAGTTGTAGGTCGTTTTGGTTCTGTCGGAGGAAGCCGAGAGAGAAGTTGCCGGTTGGGTCGGATAGAACGGGTTGAAACGAGGTGGATGTAGAGAGTGGAACTGCGGAGAAGCCTTTGAGAAGCTCTCGTGGAATGGAAGAGGTTGTTGCTAAAGATGTTAAGGTTGTAAAGAGGAACAGAAGGAGCATGATGTTTGTTAAAGGAAGGTGGTATGTTGTTGACATTTTGAATATTGGAGTTGATACCGCAGGAAATGGATGGACATTAGAGTGAACTAGAGGACATTTATAAGTATTTGGATATAAAATATTGATATATATTATGGTGTCAATGTCCTAAAAGTAGGAGATAGAATATGTTACTATTTTGGTCTTCAAATGCTAGTAACATATATCTACCCGTTAAATTTAATACTACAATATTGGTGACAACTTTTTTTTTTAAGGTGAAGATTCCAATATCTCCAAAGTAGGTGTGTACTTTAACCTAACTCAAATTCGAAGCAGCGAATTTGATAGAGAAAACTTGTTTTCACTAAACTTGTTTCCCCCTCTAAAATCACTGGTTTAATTTATTATACATTTTGTTATTTACTTTTCGTAGTTTAAAGTATTAAATACACTCTCAATGCCTACTTTTATTTATTATTTATTATTTAAAATATAGGTATGAAATTTTTTTAGATTAATTTATTTTAAAAATGCTAAAGAGGGCTCCAAAGTTAATGCTAAAAAGTGCTCCAAATTTTAAAGAGTGTATTTATATGTATGAGTGCATGAATAAAATAAATTTTTAGTCAAAATGAAAATTTAGAAACTTGGTATTGACTCTAAACTGAAATGAGTCAATATATAAGTTAAATAAGTCGATACGAAGTTAAAAGAAATTGATATATTGAAGGCAGTAGACATTTTTGTTAAAAAATATTTTTTAAGGAGTCGACTCCAAATATGGGGGAGTTGATTCATTGGCTTAATGTATCGACCTAATTCTTCAATGTATCAATATTGTAAAGGCAGTGTCAATTTCTTGAAAACACCTCTCAGATGAAGTCAACTCCAATTATGGATGAGTTGATCCATTCGCAAGATGTATCAACTCATCTTGACTATGTATCGATACATTAGAGGTAGATTCAAATCCTTTGAAATTCAAATTAGTATGTATCGATACATATCAAAGATGTATCGAACCATTCACAACATTTTATTGAAAATCATATTTTTAGCATGTAAAAGCATATGTAATCTAATTTCACATGTTCTATGATGATGATGCACATTTAGACAAAGATTATAAGGTCCAACATACACAAAGATCTAAGCTACCTAGTTTTGACATCATTCAAAATATATTTAAAAATATCTTGCACTCACATACTCCCCCTTTTTTATGATGGCAAATCATACTAGGCACTCTTGATGTCTTTGGCAAAGCTCCCCATGAATATGTGCATCATAAAACTTGTGATTCTCCCCCTTTGATAACATCAAAAAGAGGCAAAGACGGAAAACGTGAGAAGCATCATGAAAATTACACAACAACATCTAACTCACTCAGAGGCGTCGCAAAGATTAAACAATTCAACTATAATGTACACTCACATAAAATTACGTTAAATTGAAAACAATATTTAATCATAAATGTACAACTAAGAATAGTCAAAAGAGATAATATCCATTACATATTTGACATAAAAGGTTGCAACACAATGTTACAATAAGCAAAGAGACATGAAAGCATACATGCATTTTTCATGTAAAAATAAGATAAATAACATGATAAACCACAAATATCAATAAAACTACTTCAAATATAAGACATTAATGATATGAGATACATATGATGAAGAGATCAAACAAGATGTCACTATAAGCATATAAATTGAGAAACGCGTGCGTAATCAATTGAAATTTTTGGAAGTGAACACATATGAAATTCATCATTTATCAATTATATCACATACTCATTGATCATAAACATGCAATAAATTTAGTCATAAATAAGCGACATAGTTCATAGAAACTTCAAGGGCAAGGAGATAAATTGAGAACGATATTACCTCATAGGATGAGATGTAGAATGCACTTCACAAGAAAATAAACTTTCGAATAAAAGTTAAACAAAATATAGAGAATGCGTGCAATAACATATGCTTGGCAAGATTTGAGATATCCAGAATGCCAATTCTAGACAAATATTAAAAATGGATCAGTTGGAAGTGGTTTGGTAAGTATATCCGCAAGTTAACTTTTGCTATCAACATGCTAAAAAACGACATCACCTTTTTCAACATGATTTCGTAGGAAATAGTGACGTATCTCAATATGTTTAGTATGAGAATGTAACACTGGATTTTTGGTTAGGTTGATTGCATTAGTGTTATCACACATGATAGGAATACCTTGAAGTTTAATATTGAATTCATGTAGTTGTTCTTTGAGTCAAAGAGTTTGAGCATAACAACTACTGGCTTTGTGACGTATTCCGCTCGACAGTTAACAAAGCAACGAAGACTTGCTTTTTACTATGCCAGCTGAAGCTAGCGGGATTATATGTAAGTGAATATCACACTCAAAGATACAATAGAGTTTCCACCGAACATTATTTAGTTCTAAAGGACATGGAAAATATCGATAAAACCCAAGAGAAAAGTGTAGCACCCCAAAATTTGTCATTCTGTTTTAACATTAGCTGGCTTTTGTTTCTCTGCATTTTACATTTCCGCATATCATAGCATTTGTTCTTGAGGCATGGGATCAAGGCATTTCTGTGGCTCAGGTTTCTTTTTTAGTGCAAGAGTTTGAACAGCGAGCATCAGAGGCTCTGACATTTATTTTGTCCAGCGATCGAGCGATCAATTTTATTTTATTTTGCAGGATAATTTTTAGCTCAGGAGACAACACCCAAGCTACCTAAGGCATTCTCACAGTTATGATATTCAAGGGCAAGTTTCAGAGGCTTAACCGGGCTCAGAACGGGTGAAAACGGACAAATGTGCACTTTTCCCTCCAGAAGGCGCCATAATTCAAATTTTCAAGGTGTTAACCGATTAACCAATATGGTTAACCAGTTAACCATAGCAAAATCAGGACAGATTTGAATTTTCAAAGGGATTAACCGATTAACCAAAATGGTTAACCGGTTAACCAAGGTAAATTTTGCTCTGCACGTGAATTTCCAAAGGCAGCCACTTTGGGGTCCATTTTGATCACTTGTGAATTTGATTTTACACCAGAAGAAGGATCTAGAGTCATTCCAAATTTTGGTTAATTTTCAAATTAATTCAAGTTCCCTCCAATTTTTCATTCCTAATCTCATTCCAATTTTCATAACCACACTTCAAACCACCATTCTACTCCTAACCTAGAGCATATTTAAATGAATTTGCTCCAAACCTCACACATCAATCCTCATAATTCCATTTCATTTTCAGAATTCACTCTCACTCTTGAAATTTTCTCTCAATTTTTTTCACTCCTAAAACCTCCATTAGAGCTCTCACTTGAGTTCCTTGATTCTCCATTGGAATCATTGAATTCTAGAGCTAAACCTTCATCCTTCATCCTTATTATCTTCATTTCTCCATTTAATTTTCGTTTGGATTTGGATCTAATCTTGGAAGCTAATTTGGAAGAGCTAATTTGGATTATTTTTGCTTGATTTTGGTTGATCTTCACTCCTACAACAAGAAAGCTCTTGGATCTTGAAGAATCTCTGGGTTTCTTACTTGGATCTGCTCATTTCAAGTGAATCAACATTCACCAAAGCAAATCTCCGCTTTGTAGGTTGGAAATTCTAGATCCAATTCTGTTTTTTTAGCTTATTTGCATAATCAATGTAGATCTTCAAATTTTTCTTGATTTTGATCTTTATGATTTGTGATCTCATTGTTTGAATGTGTTTACATGTTGTTGGATCACTGATTTTTGGTGTTAAATTCGTGCATAATTGATTACATGATCATTTGGATGATTACACATTGAATTAATTGTTGAAAGTGCTTTTGAGCTGTTGTTTTTCTGATTCTAGTGCAGTGTTAATCGGTTAACCAGTTGCAGTACAATCTGGTTAATCGGTTAACCAGTGCAAATTTTTAAATTTTTAAATGGTTAATCGGTTAACCAATAGTGTTAACTGATTAACACTGAACCAGAATGCCATATTTGGTTATTTTCAAGCATGTTTTGAGGTCCTCTCACTTTGAATCTTCATGGATCGATATGATGCATTTGGAGTGAGTTGTTTTGGATATGTGTCGCTGTTCTTGATTGTTTAATCTTAATTCTTCGACACGTGCGGTTCGGTTTCCACTTTAATGCATATTTTTTGGATGTTGTGTTAGAACACAGATTGGTGTTTAATATATCTCTATTGTTTTGATGATAACACTAATGAATTTTGTATTAAGAAAATATATACTCTAATTTTGTTCAAGTGTTTTTGTTTCAGATATTAAATTAAATATTCTTATGGAAGCAAAAATGCATCTGAACAGTATTCTACGCAAAGCTCTGAAGCACCAGAAGCAAGTCATCAAAAGACTCTGAGCGCTGCCAGAAGAGACTCAGAAGCAGAAGCTGCAGAAGACTCAGAAGCAGAAGTTGCAGAAGACTCTGAAGCGTAGTTGAAGTGAAGAGTTTCAAGCATTGTTTCAAGAAGACTTTGAATGTACTTTACGCTGCAAGTACATAGGTTCTGTTATTCAAACTCTGCTCTGATTAATATTCACGCTGAAGCACTTTGGCTGCAAAACTCTGATAACATCAAGACTCTGATATCATAAAACTTTGATCACTTCAAGACTCCGATGTTGATAACTTTGGAACAGAAGCATTGTTGAAGAAAATATTATTCAAAGATATATCCATTGGCATATTCCAAACGACTCTTTCCATATTCATGTATGGCACAGGAAATCAGACAAAAGGGATTAGTCTGAACGTTCCTCTTTTGGGAAAGCTAAAGTCAGAAGAAGACAAAAGGCTACAGCTACTCTGCTACACACAGTCTTCAAGCATTGGACTTTCTTGCTCTATAAAAGGACGTCTTCAACAACATTTCAAAGTTGATGAATTAATGAGAAATCAATTTGAAAAATACTCTCAAGCTCTCATACAAAATATATTTCATAAACTGAATAGTTTTATTCGTTCTTAATCTAAGTGTAAAAATCAGAGTTGTGATAAAGCTTTTTAGAAGCATCTTAAACACTTGTTAGTTT